TCTAGAACGATGCAACAAAACCACCATCCCTATGGGCAACATCCCATGCCCATGCAGCCTCCTCAGAGGCGCCATGATGGGCCATACGCGAACATGCCGCCTCCCATGAGGCCGCATCCGCAATACCAGCCATTCTATCAACAGCATATGGCGCCAATGATGCCTCAGTACCCTCAGCACTATCCACCCAACTGGTATGGATATCAACAACCCCACATGCATCCTATGCATGGCAGACCGCCATATTATGCTCAGCTTCCTGTACCACCTCCTCAATATCCTCTCGCAGCTCCTCATCCACATCACGGCCCGCTGGTGGTATCCAGCCAGCCGCACGTGCAGCCTGCGCCTCGACACCCTCAAGGTCCGCCATCTGTGCCGCCGCAACCAACCTCGACCGCCCCATCCATTGCCTCAAACCCGGTTCAGACACCACCTTCTCCTCCTCTCAGTACCTCGAGCACGGTGAACACAAGAAAAGATACCATCTCCCCAGCAATTTCTCCCGCACCTCAACGGGTCCAAAGCCCGTCCGCTGATACTCCCAGGGATCCTTTTTATCCCCCTGTGCCTTGGTTGTCTGTTGACGGCGAAGCATTCCCACCTCGTGCTCCTAGGCAGAGACGGCGGATTCCTCGTTCCCTCCTTGCCTCAGAACCAGTCGTCTACCCATTGGTAGAGCCAACCCCTCCTGAACCAACTACCCCGACGCCCGCTGAAGAAGAACCCGCCCAAGAGCAGCTGGAATCGGTACCTCAAGAGGAGGATGAGTCTGCAGACATTTCCGCAGAACAACCTACCACGCAAGCATCGACTCCCTTACCGTCGGACGCCCCATCTGAAGTTGCCTCTACCCAACCAACGACCCCCTCTTCTGCCGTTCATGCTCCTTTGTCAAAGTCTCAGCAAACCCCAACTCAACCAAAAGCCCGACCTGCTGGTCCCATTCTCCCAGCTGTCCCAGTCCTGCCTTCTAGCCCTTCTGCAGCGCGGTCAAGCCACCGTGACTCGGTCGTCTCGACACAATCAAAGACATCCGAACCAGCACAAACGCCTGTAGACATTAAGGAAACCCAGATCACCCCAACAGAAGCGTCAGAGACGAAGCCGGATTCTGAAGATGCTGCTCCTGTTGTTTTGCCTCCTGCCCCGCCGAAATCCTGGGCAAACCTATTCAAGGCTAATGATGCGCGGAGTGGCCAGTCCACAGCCTTACCGTCGAAGGCGGCCTCAACTATTTCTGGAACCGCAAAGAGTGAGACCCTATCCGAAGTGCTGAACGAAATGAACTCTGTCGTTGAAGCGCCAACTAAGATATCTTTTCTCAAACCACGTGGTCTTGTCAACACTGGAAACATGTGCTACATGAACTCTGTGTTGCAAGTACTTGTTTTCTGCTTGCCATTTTACGATTTCATAGCGAAACTGGCTGACAGAGCTCCACATACATTCAAAAGCGACACCCCCTTGATCGATGCAATCATCATGTTTGTACGAGAGTACCCCATCATCTGCTCCGCAAACTCTGTGGATCAGCTCCGCCTGCGCTTGAAGCCAGATGACTACGAGAACTATGGCGACTCTTTTATTCCAGAGTATGTCTATGCTGCAATCAAAGATCTGCCTCGGTTCCGAGAAATGAGGAGAGGCCACCAGCAGGATGCCCAGGAATTCCTCGGCTTCTTGCTAGAAGAATTGCATGAAGAATGTGCTCGCGCCATGAGATCTACCACGGCTTCCAGCTCCGGCCGAACGACGCCTGTGGGCAGTGTTTCCAATGCCTCGGAGCACGCTGATACAGAGAATGGATGGATGGAAGTCGGCCACAAGCAGAAGTCTGCAGTCACTCGGTCTTCGGGCATGACTGCGGCAGAATCTCCTGTGACCAACATCTTTGGTGGGAAGCTTCGATCCGAATTGAAAGTGTCCGGGAATAAGTTGTCCGTCACTTTGGAGCCATACTCACCGTTGCAGCTCGATATCGGTTCTCCTCAGGTAAACAACATCATTGACGCCTTGAAAGGACTTACGAGGCCGGAAAGTATGCAGGGTGACTTTTATACTCCGAGAGGAGTAAGAGCCACTGCGACAAAACAAGTCTTTATTGAAACTCTACCTCCAGTCCTGATCCTACACCTGAAACGATTCCACTATGACAACACCACAAAACGCGCGGAGAAGATCTGGAAAAAAATCGGCTACCCACTAGAACTCGAAATCCCCAAGGAAGTGTTCCCTCTGCAGGTGCGGAACAAATACACGGCGCACGGTGGCTTACCAAAATACCGCCTCACAGGTGTCATCTACCATCACGGCAAGAACGCCAACGGCGGTCACTACACTGTCGACATCCGCCGCCAAGATGGCCGCGAATGGATCCGCATGGACGATACCTTACTGCGTCGTATCAGAGCTGAAGAGGTCGCGGAGGGTGGCAGCGAAGAAGACCCGAAGGTCCTTGCAGCAGCATTGGAACGCCACACAGCTAGCGGCAACCGTTTCGAGCAATTTGACCAAGGAACTGACGAGGATGATGCTTCGGACAAAACGTGGAGTCAAGTCAATGGGCATTCAAGAACCAAATCGACAATGAGTGCCGTGGTCAACGGAACCTTGACGCCCAAAGACTCATCCGGGAAGCAGACGCCAAATCCCAAGTACCTTGTCAAGGACAACAAGGTTGCCTATCTATTGTTCTACCAACGGATCTCCAATTAATGCTCGAAATCACTTATGCATGAAGTGCATGATGTCCCTCTCGCCATAGTCGTTGTTTCCACCGAACTGGCCGCCGCCCACGGATTTATCATGTCTTCTAGACCATGACGGGGTCTTGCCGTCATATTTCGCGATCGTTCTTGAAATCATTGGAGCGCCTTCTTTGTAGATAAAAGCGAGCATTCGTCGATAGGAGGAGGAAGGTACAAAAGCCAAAGCGGCAAAAGTTCACAGACGACTAATGTCGAAAGCGATATGCCCTGCATGGTAGTGGACGGAACCGACGGGGATAAAAGTGGCCCTAGTTAATGGAATCGAGCGCAGACTATCATTCATATCACCTCTTTGCACTTCTACATGCCGGGACCTCGAAGCTTCTTGGGGGAGCAAAAGATTGATCCACAGAGACATACGTACCCACCTCATTTATGATACCCAGACAAAGCTACGGTTGGAATGCGCCTGTATCAGTCATGCCATTGGAATGGACGAGGTGAGAAATTGAGGAAGTGAAGGGGCTTGGGGTTTGAGGGAGCTTCATACATGTTGTTTCTTAGTGGTTACCTGGTCCGTTGCTCCAAATCGAGAGTTGACAGGGCAGTGGCTTGGATGTGTTGGACGAGGCTGAGACGATGTTGGCCCATGCTTTCTAGCCTGAGACAGTGACATTGTTAGTGGCTACTTGCCGTCTTGCGGTGGGAGGGAGCATGGTGTCAACTCCTGGGGTCCGGAAGTGGTGTAGGAGTACCAATTACAGTGTACCTTTTTATCCTTGTTTGTTCATCTCCGTGACTCTTTGTGTGCGTCGCAGGTCCAGTTGGACACTTTGTCAATGACCACTGTAGAACTAACGAGAAGGGCAGGCAATGTATATAATAGTATGGAGGGATACACGCGAGACGAGACGAGGCACTGCGGCACGCATGCATGCATACACACATACATTCATACTTGCAGGTCGCCACAAGAGAAGAAAAAAAGGCCGAAAGCTATGGCCATACAGTATGTACCTCGTACACACACATAAGTCCCTAGCGAGCTAGGCAGATAGGCAGGCAGCCAGGGAGGTAGGTAGGTCTCTATGTAGGTGTTTACCTCCAGTACTTGGTAAACCTCTCGCGCGCCTCTCCATGGAAGATATGCATGGGATATAACGCCGCTGAACGGCATTAAAACCACGCGCGTTTTTACGTTGATGTTTACGTTGAAGAAAGAAAGAAAAGAAGAGTACGAGGGTGCACGTATCAAGTACAAGGTACAGGTAGAAGTAGGCCGGGCGGTGAGTGAGTGGCTTGGTTTTGGTTTTGGTTTTGTGTTCTGGACCGGAGCCAGGAGGGTCGTCGGGAAGGAGGGAGGGAGAGGGGAAGACTTAAACCACCAAAATACATATATTGATTTTATTTCGCTCATTGAACTACTCTACTTTCCAATGGCATATCCGAGGAAATACACCAGATACACGGCCCACGCCGAGGCCAAAAACATGCTCTCCGCCCGGTTGCCCTTCGAGGAGAAGCGCCACGCCTCCGTTAGCAGTGCCTTGTATGCAGATGGGGGATGTCTTTTGTCGCTAGCATGGTTGGTGGGTGCAGTTGTCGCTGGGCAAGGGGACGAGTCGGTCGGGTGCTGAGGGCCAGAGGTGGTATCGCTGGTTTCTTCATTGGAGGATGATGACGATGACAAAGAGGAGGAGCACGAGGAGGAAGAGAAAGAGGACGTTTGATGCCGTTCATCATATGGTTGGTCGTCGCCGGAATCGCATTGTCGTGGTTGTCCATCTTCCTTCTCTCTGTCGTTATCGTTGTCGCTAGCACCTGGGGTATCGCCTCTCGCTTCAATATCGACCTTTGAATCCGCTGCATCTGGCCCGTCATCTCCTTCTCCTCTTCCTTCCCCCCCTCCTCCTCCTGACGCCACTGCTGCTGCTCCTCCTCCTCCTCCTCCTCCTCCTCCTCCTCCTGGTTCTTCGGGCCTTTGGTCCGGCGGGCTAGTTGGCGGCTCTGGCGGTCGCGGCGGCGGGTACGGTAATAACGGGCTTCTTTTGTTTGCGTGGTTCTCGCTCAGCTTACGCTCTTCATATCTCTCTCAATTTCATTGGATATTTTTTCTTTTCCTTATATTTTTTTTTATAATTTTTTTTTTTTGATCTTTTGGCGTTCACAAGGACAAGGAGATAGGCGTGGTGGAGGAATCTCGCAAGACAAAAAAGGAGCCAGCGAGATCCTAGTCTACGCCATTCCTCTCTGCCAGGATGAACTGGTGGTACACGAACGGGCGCGGACTTACTCTTCAGCGTCGCTCTTCACATTCGGTGCATCACTCGGTCCGCTGTTCAGACTCTCGACCCCCAGGTTCGTGTCATTGGTGTCATCCGTCTCGTGCGACTTGGCGGCACGCTCGACCGCGCTGAAGATGTTGCCGTTGAGCAATCGACCCCGGATCCGGCTGCCGTCACGGACGTCGGGGATGCTACGCTCCTCAATGTGCCATTGTTGAATCGCCCGGATGATGTCGACGGCGAGTTGTCCGTTGCGCTTCAGGGCCGTCGCCCAATGTGCGGGGATCTTGTCGCTGGTGGTCAACTGGCGCGCAACCGAAGAGACCATCATCTCGCGCATCTCGTTGTCCTCGTCCGTCTCGGCATAGATGTATTGGACTCGGCGCAGGCCTGGGTAGGTAGAGGTGCTGTGGTAGAATTCTCGGACCGCTTCGACTACGTCGGTGCTGAGCTTTTTGATCTGCAACTTCTCCGAGAGCAGATACAAGTCAAGGAGAGGGCCGATGTCCTTTTCCGTCTTTGGCGTCTGCAGAGACTTGGAGTACAGCCAGCCGACCATAAGCTCAAACGGGTAATCGTCATCGTCCGTGAGGTGGTAGGCCTTGTTGGTGGTTCCTCCCCCAGATTTCTTCTCCTCGTCCTTTCCATCCTCGCGGAAGACGGACGAGAAGACGGGTGAGTGGTAGCAGAGGAGTTCCTCGTGGAGAGACCAGCGGGTCGAGTCCTGACCGACGTAGACGTCGACCAAGGAAGAGGTCAGAAGCCTGCAGAAAGCGTAGGTGAGTGAATGATCTATCTATGCAACGAGAGCGCCAATGATATCTGCCAGGCGATCTAGAAGGGTCTGCCTTGAGCCCCTCATGCAGCTTCAACTCACTCGTGAAGAGACTTCTCCTCCCCCTCCTGATCATAGTCGCGCTCGCCATTTCTGTTCTCCATGAGTGCGGAAGGCATTCTGATGTGCTGTCACAGCCAAATTGATTAGTGCGCGAGAAATTAGAATTAAAGTAGAAGTACCACAGCAGTGCCTGTTAAAAGCTCAGGGGTCGAATGCTGCTGCTGGGACAAAAGAACCAAAGATGCGACGGAAGGGAAGGAAAGGGAAAGAAGAAGAGGTGCATGTGCCAGGCGGACAATACACTTTTCTTAACCACTCGAAGAAAAAGAGGAGGCCATGTTCAGTGATGGGAAAGCCAAACACGACACTTTTGAACCCTGCAGATGTGCGTGAGAGAGAGAGGGAGAAAGTAAAGAAGAGATGGCTGGCTGGCTGGCCCTGGCCCTGGCTTCCTTTGCCCAGGCCTATTCAGCCATGTGCGTGCGGTTGCTCAAGTTCGCAAAAAGCGGAAAAAGATGAACGACGTCAGAGATTCAAGCCACAATTCCATAAAACGGCGGCGCGTGCGAAGGCGGGGTCAGGAAATGTCTGCCTTGAGTGGACGGGTTGAGGAACAAAGCATTGGTGGCACGGGCTGGGGAGGGGGTGAGAGAGTGACCCGACTCGCCACAATGTCGGGGCGGACCTTGGTGTCCACATTTGATGATGGAGGATGATGGAAAGCAAGTGATAAAAACCGGTTTGTGTGGCGGCGGAGATGAGGAGGAGGGAGGAGACGAGACCTTATTGTGCGTGCAAAGGTCACGTGGAAGGCAGAATGACACTAACCCGCTTTGAGATTCACGAACTCTAGAGTGATAAAGGACGGACTTCAGTGCCAATGCAGCCGCTGGAGTGAGAAACAGTTGCGAATGGAAAAGGTTGCAGGAGAACGCATACGTTCGTCCTGATTTACTGAATTCTTCTGGTGGTTTACCCTCTAATCTCAAAATCAACACTGCGTAATGACAATGCGTGTACCAACTATATCTCGTACACAATATCCTATCCCGATGCTACCTAGGTAGCGTCATACGAAAAACCTGTCCTAAGTCTTCCCTTCTGATTAGCCGCTCGCCGCTTGGCTCACCTTCGGCTCACCTGCTGCTCCCCTGCTGCTCCCTGAACGGTCCCGGAGTCTGCCTGAGCCTTTGGTCTTCCCTCTTAGTCTTCATTTCACAACACCGATTTTCGTTAACTTTAGACAATGGGACCCGTTCAGGGTGCTGGGGGATCCCAACTCGGCCCCCTTCCTAATACGCTCGAACTGCTTAGTTGGGGCCTTCCTATGCTGCTCTCTTGCGTGGCAATAATGGATATCTGCCTACTTCGTTTGAAGGCCCGGCGAGAAGTCGGCTTTTGTGTTGGCTCTCTAGGATATAAGTACGCCGTCTCTCGCTCTCCCCTTATTGGACCTGGAGAAGAACGACATGAAGGACGGCGAAACATAGCGGGTCTTTGGCACAGGTGGTATTGCAAGCCGGTCTCTTGGCTCTCCAGTCATTGCAATTTCGGCCTGACAGAAAGTATGGAAACGATCCTGAACAATTCCCCTCAGGGTTTCTCGATTGACTTGTCTGGGCTCTTGTAAAAAAAATGATGAGGCTTTCAACCTGCTTTGTGCTCACGACACCCGCTGCCTTCTCTGCAGATTGGTTGGCGATCTGTATTGGCGAGAAGTGCGCGCATGTCACATCTGAAGATGTTCGGCTCCGTGCATTTTCTAGTATTGCAGCGCATTCCTGGTTCGTCGAACATGTTGCGGAGGAAGAGGAGACGTTCGCGCTTACTTGTCTACAGTGTCTGTAACAGGCCCCTGATCCGTAGATTGTTCGGAGAAGTCATTGAGCGGTATGAATGTGACTTCAAAGAACAGCCTGAGGCTGCCGCTGAACTTGAAGGGAGAATGTAGACGGACCGAAGCATTTAGGACGGTGGGGACGCCATGACGTCAGAGAACAAATCTCTCCCCGAGAACAAAAAGCTTTTCTATATAATTTTAAGTCTTGAGAATCCAACTCAAGTTCCAACAGGTCGCTTAGCTCAGGTTAGTAGCTGCCGTTCACCAAGTTTAACAAACAAGTACTAATTACCTCTCCAGTTGGTTAGAGCGTGGTGCTAATAGCGTTGAAAGCGGTTAACGCCAAGGTCGCGAGTTCGACCCTCGTAGTGACCATTTCTTACTTTTTTGGTACTTTTTTATTTCCCGTCATGGTTCCGATCTTTCAACACCGTAAGGAGTAAATAGTAAATTTCCCTTTTTATGAGATGGATTAAAGTCTGCAGACGCTTTCACACGCCGCGTAATTAGAAGACGACGATATTTGTCCCACATTAGTTCGGCGGCGGTAGGATAGCCTACCAAAAGTTCAAGCTGCGTGGAACTTTTTTGTGCGGCATCACGGGGAGCATCGAGTCAGCGCAGTGCGAACAAGTAGCCGCTGGTTCTAAATGTATTTACTCAGGGAGCGCTCAGGGAGGGTTTAGTGATGCTCCGCTAAAGGCTCAGTTAAAGCTCAGAGTTCTTGATTTCCTTCGTCTTTTTTTATTTCTCTCCGTCTTCTCTCTACACTCACGCCGCCGTAAGTACTGCTGCTCCTCGTGCAACCTCTTCTTCTTACTCTAACCTTTCATTTAGGACTGTTCAACGCCCTTCCTTCTCTTTGCACCTTTACTTCCTCTTCGTTCGACCTGCAATTCTTGCACATTTTTTCATCGACACAATGTGGTTCTGTACAAGGAACTTTTAGAGGTAGTAGCGTAAGGGGCAGGGAATCTATGTACCAGGTTTCCTAACGGCCCGTCTAAAACGGATTACCTAGCCGGGAGGCAAGGATGGCCGGATCGTAAGGACCCGATGAGGCCCCAAATGTGTTTTGCTCAGGGAGCGAGCGCTCAGGGAGGGTTCAGTGATGCTCCGCCAAAGGTGAGCTCAGTTAAAGTTCAGGTTAAAGCGGCGATTCGGTCACCCTCTAGGTTCGAAGAATGAATGGAAATTAATAGGTTTTTCGTTCTCGAGTAATAGAGAAAGGTACCTCGTAGTTACCACTACATACTACATAAAAACAGGACCAGTTGTCATTCAAAACTTGTGTTCCCCTTTCGTGCCCACTGAAGGGGGGTGTTTTAGCCCGCCCCCCCCCTCCTTTTTTTTCCCTCCTCCTATGGCAATGCATCGCTTCCCTGTGCAATTTCCATTCCCTATGTACATGCCCCGCGCCATGCGATAATAACCTAATCTATCTTCTATTGAAATTCAAATACCTCGATGCCAAGAACAGCAAGATCAGATTACTCGCGATAAAGGCGGCAAAAATTCCTAGGTCCCGCCAACGGTCGTTGAAACTCAACTGCAAGGGCTCGTAGAATTGGTCCCCGATCTTGTAGGCGCAGTACCGACACGTGTCGGTGACGTTGCTGACAATGTAGCCCGGCCCGCCGCGTTCGAAGAAGTTGCTCATGTACTCGCCACAGTCTTGCCCCGGTAGAGAAGGGAACGAGTTGAGCTCCGACGAGGTACAGACCACCCGTCGGTCGTGCAATTCCGTGGTGACCATCCCGGACACCAAGCGAGTGAAGGGATCGAGTTGGTACAGCCAGGCACGCCAGAAGCCCGGGATCTGTGGCTTGGGGATGGTGACGCCGCAAAACAATGCAAAGACAATGACGATGAATGGGTTGATCAAGCTGGAGATGAAACTCGACGGCGTGATCGCTGCAACCATCTGGCCCAGCGTCACGGAGAACAACTCTGTAATCAGCACCATGAAGAACTGATAGCCCGCCCTCGAACTGTTGCTGTTGAACCCGGGCAAGTAGTAGATCGGGACAAAGAACCCAACCGTACACAAAAGGCTGTACGGCATCTCGGCACAGACCATGGCGAAAGCAAACGGAAATTGACTATACGCTTTCGCTGCGGATTCTCGATAGAAGATGAGCCGGGAAAGGTCGTACATGGGCTCCACCTGTGCCAATATCAGGGCTGGAATGATGGTGACTTGAAAGATGACGAAGACGCGGTATTGTAAGCTTGATCGGCTGTCGTCGAGCTGCAAGAACGCCAGACCTGAGAGCAGAGCGATAGCCACATGGTTGAACAGCCTCGTAAAACCATAGTTGGGGGAGCGCCAGAAGGCCAAATGGGTCCGATTGGACACGACTTTGATCTGATGCCACAGAGGGGAGGCGTACTCTCTCTCATCCAGCTTGGGCTCGCCAGCAACTTCGCGCTGACGTTTCGCTTTCATGTCGATGATCTCGGCCTTGACAGTCGCGAGCTCGTCACTTTCGCGCCAAATATCTCCCCAGTCCCTGTCTCCGATGCGAGCTGCAATGCCAGCTCCGATGGCGTCCAGCATCCACTCGGCCGGGTTAGCATTTGGAGGGCAGTCGGCGCCGTGTTTGTGGAAGTAGCCCAAAAGGACGTGTGCGTCTTTGCCTATGTCTCCGAAATAGACAGTCTCTCCACCTCGTTGCAACAGGAGCAGCCGGTCAAAGTTCTCAAACAGGGCACTGTTGGGTTGATGGATGGTACAGAGAATGGCTTGTCCAGAGGCAGAGAGTTTGCGGAGGAAGCGGACAATATTGAACGCGGATTGTGAATCAAGACCCGACGTGGGCTCATCGAGGAAGAGGAGCAATTGAGGCTTTGCGGCAAGTTCAACACCAATGGTCACCCTCTTCCGCTCTTCGACCGACAGTCCGCTTTCGGGGCTGCCGATAATGGCATCTGCAAGGTTTTCGAGTTCGAGCAGGCAAAGGACTTCTTCCACGTACGCGTACTTTTGTTCTCGGGGCACTTCGTACGGCTGGCGAAGATCGGCGCTGAACCGGAGAGCTTCTCGGACCGTTTGAGTCGATTCGTGAACATCGAGCTGCTCCGCGTACGAAGTCCCTCTCTGAAACCCAACGCCTGGCTTTTGACCGTCAACCAAGATATCACCACCGATCACGCCGATATTCTTTCGAGAGGCAAGGACATCAAGCAACGTCGTTTTACCGGCTCCACTCGCGCCCATCAAAGCGGTCAATTGCCCTGGACGCACGTATCCGAAGATATCCTTCAGCAGCCGCAATTGCCCAGCAGGAGTAGGTACATCGTACGTGAGATTTTCCCACGTCAGCACAGACTTGGAAGTGATATTGAGCTCTGAGCTGTCCCCGGCATCCTGCTTCGTTTGTCGTCTTCGTTTTCGTTCCTGCAATTTCTCGTTCAAGGCTTTCCTTTCGTTGTTTTCCTTGGTAAAGTAGGTGACCGTGCGACCACCAGCGCCGTATTTGACCGTTTCTCCTAGGATGACGTTGGTGAAAAGGAAGAATGCAATCAAAACGACGATGATGCCAAAGTTACGCCAGAGATCGGCCGGGTCGTAAGAAAAGCCCTGTTTAACATAGGCATTCCCTGACACTTCGACCGCTCCCGCTTGAGAACCTGGAAGGGTGCAGACCTGGTGGTCAATGTTGTTGTACCCAGGACCCGATGGGATTAACGACTCAGCGGTACAGCGCATTGTCAGCCTCATGAACTCATTCATCATCATTGCTGCGAAGCCAAGACCGAGGGTGTTGACGTAAAATATCCATCGCATCCACACTTGCTGGCTTTGATACTGAATGATGTACCCAGACGTGATGACGAACAAGGTGATGATAACGGCGGCGAACTTGATGGCGTAGTCAAAATCCGGACACAGACAACCAATGGTACGGAAGAACAAAGTCATGGAGAGATAGCCCGTGATAATGATAAGCACGAACGTAAAGAATGCCCCGGGAGTTCGGACTAAGCCTGTCATGAAGTAGACGATGACACTGAAGACGAAGATCTGGACAGACGCAAAGGCCAGGTCGACGACAATCTGTGCAAGCCACAACGCGCTGGGTCGGTGGAAAGTGTATGCTCGATGCTTGTTCACAATCGGTCGACCCAGCATCGTAGATGCCAGTTCCGAAAATGCCTGAAAAGCGTTGAAGAGCAAAGCCATGAAGAGCACACCACCTCGAGTAAACGCTCCCGCGGAAGTTTTGGGTTGATGCAACCAGACCGTACCGACGATGATGGCGATGGTAATAGATGTGATCCACGAAACCACCAGAGAGAACTTATCTTGCCATTTGATCAGAAATTGTCGCCGCATCAAGGCCCAGATTTGCAAGTGGAACGGCACCGAATACACCGAGTTCTTGGGTGTATGTTTTCGTTTGGCTTCGCGATGTGCTGCCACGAAATCATCGTACACCTGCTTTTCGTGCTGGATGGATTCTCGATAGTCGGCCATCTCTTTCTCGAGTCTTTCAGCGAAGACGGATTTGTTGAACGCATCCACGAACGAGTCGGCGGTTGAAGGCGCATTTTCAGGAGATCGCCCTGGCTTATATTCCCGTTCATACTCGTCGGTGCACCCCGTCAGGTAGTCGGGTGTCGTCTGACGAGGCTTTTCCAGGAAACCCAGCCCTTCAAAATATGCCCTCGCCTCCTTTGCCGGACCGAAGAAGACTTGTCTACCTTTGTCGATCACCATGACTTTGTCGAACTGGCTGTAGATGTTCTCAGATGCTTGGTACAGCGAAACGAAAGTGGTGGTTTGGTAGATATTGGTCATGATTCGGAGCGATTTGGCGTAGTCAAGGGCAGTCGATGCATCGAGTCCGCGGGTGCTATTATCCCAACAGCAGACAGTGGCTCGAGTGACCATCATTTCAGCGATCGAGACTCTCTTTCTTTCTCCGCCAGAAACACCGCGCATGAAAGGGTTCCCCACGATGGTATTGATGGTGTGCTCGATGTTGAACATTTTGAGCAACAAGCGGATAACCCTGTCCTTGAATTCGGCTTTGCTGAGGCCCAAGGGACGCTTCCCTGGCGTTTTCGTGTCAAGGGCAAACCCTAGTGTCTGACCAACAGTCAGGGTGGGATGGTGTACGTCGTCCTCCTGGTTGTACACCGCCTCGCCACGGTAGAGCTTCTCGAAGGTAGCAGCGTCAAAAGGACCATAGAGAACTTCACCGTCTATGCCTGTATAGCCATAACGTTGGTTGGCGAGCACTTTGAGGAAGGTCGTACAGCCACTTCCAGGTCGACCCAGCACAAGTACCATTTCACCCGGTTTGGCGACACCGCGAAAGTCTTGTAAGATGTTGAACTCGCGACCCTTTTTTCCTATCCCCAGAATGCTCATGATCGTACCCGGCACGTTGAAAAAGTCGACAAAGGCATCAGGGAAGACCTTGACAAAGTTCTTGACGCCACCAATGCCGCGGACAGTGAGGTTTTCCCACACCACACCTGTTTGACTGTGATAAGCCCCAGGAAAGAGGGATCTCTAGACGCCGAACTCACCAATATACTTGGGCTTGATCCCTGCAGCATCGTCCGCCTCTCTCGCGCCGCGTAACGTGGTCTCCAAGTCAAAGACATCGTCCGAAATCTCATCAGAGGAACTGATGGCCTTCTCCACGTCTCTTGCCCTGACATGAGAAACCTTCGACTGTGTCCGCGAGACTCGACGACTGATCGCACTCAGTTCCCTGCTCAGTTCGGCGAAATCCCTCTCCGCCTGTTCAACATTGACACCTGAGGTGGTGCGTTGCAGACCATAAGAGTCGGTTGATATCCGAGGTCTTTCATAGTGCTTTTCAACAGCAAATGTTTCTCTATCTCGAATTGCGCCAGGCTCCTTTTCGTCATATTGACGGGTATCTCCTTGAGAAGCGTGATCCGTGGTTGCACCGTACTGTTGTGCCGGTTGACCCAGGCCCAATTCTTTTGAAAGGGTGTCGACCATGGTTGTGTGAGCTTGGGCCCGTCCCTACCAAGTCTTTTTGTTCGGCTATGATCCTTCCTTTCCCCACATGAACGGTCAAGTGTGGTTGAGTGGTTCAGAGCTTGCCGGTAGACCCAATGCAATACGATATCACCAAAAAAACCAAAAAAAGACAAAAGCTGCTCCAAGTGTCCTCAGGCACGACCGGTAGGTCAAATCGCAAATGCAATGGTCTGAAAAAGAATATCCACGGAAAAGGAATTGGAAAATACTTTGGAAAATCGGCGGACTTCTAGCCAGTGGCCACCGACCGCTAGCCTCCACTTGGGACATGCCTTGGTGCGCTTCGTGCATGGCCCGGCAGAGCGGCATCCGGCTGAACGCACCAGTCAACGACGACTCTTGCCTCCACTGTTTTGGGAACCCATATCGGGTATCTCGCAGAGCCCATAATGGAGTGGGGTGTTCTCAATTGCCTGAAACAGCTGAATCTTGTTCACGGAGACGAGCTTCCAGCTTCTCGATAAAGGCAGACGGTGAGGCTAGGTCTTTACACAAAGTCCTTGAACGAGGGGCATTCAAGGCATTGCTATTGGGGGGTTATCGGCGGCAACAGGCCGGGAGTTTAGCGAGTCCCTGCTGCTTGACTCATGGACTGAGTGGCCGAGGCTGACACGTTGATTGAACCAAAAGCCGATCGCCAAAATCCGTTGCGGAGCCAAGATACGAGACAAGTATCTCCCCACCTCCTCTCCTTCTCCCCTCGCACAGAGGGATCCAGGGGATGGCTGAGGATATCATAGTTTTTGTTGAGCCGAAGTTTGGTGCGGAATCCGACCCCCCCATAGCCCATCTGCACTGTCTAGCGAGCTGGAACCCGCCTAAGGACCGAACAAGTAGTGTAGGCCATTACAAATCCCATTTTCTGCTTCTGTTTTTCCCGCCGGATGTTGCCCAACTGTAACAAGGGTATAGCGGCCGAATTTCCCAATGCGGTGCAAACAGGAATGACATCGTCAAAACGACAGACATACAAGGGCCGCCCATTTTCCAGCAGTCCAGAGATATAGAGAGTGAGGTTCGCGCCTGTTTCGTTTTGTTCTCGTATACCTCTTGTATACCTAACTCAAGAAAATCACCCTCTTCATTTATGTGCCAGACGAGACCGCAGCCGGGAGAGCTCCTGGACGAAACTGGCCTTTGGTGCAAGGGGTCCTTCACCGCCCTCTTCTTCAACATTGTGCTTGCCCACGATATTGAGGAAAACTTGATCCAACGTTGCGCGACTGACGCTGTAGTATTCAATCTGCAACTCTGACTTGTTTGTCTCTAGGGCAGTGAATAGAGCCGCGATCCCAGATTCAACACTAATTTCGCCATCCTTGCTCGCGTACAAAGTTTTGGGTGGGACCGAAAATCGGATCTGACTTGCATATACCTTACTTTCGATATTTGCATTGGGGAAATTCCGTTGTATCCAGTTTCGAATGCGCAGCATGTCTTCATCGGAGGCGTGTGGGGCTCTGCTATGCACGAGGTGGACATAATACGCGTCGCCGTGTTTTCTGCGAAGGTAGTCAGTTGTCCCAAGTGCCAACATTTTCCCTGCCATGATACCAGCTCTTGTTGCGAGTGCATCTGCTTCCTCCATTGAATGAGTCGTGAGCACCAGAGATCGACCAGGAACCACCGACTCTAACGTCCTCCACATGACGCGCTTGCTCGCTGCATCCATGCCTGAAGAAGGCTCGTCCAGCAGGAGGACACTTGGGTTGCCCATGAGCGCGATCCCAAGGGACAACTTGCGCTTGTTGCCACCAGACAATTTGGCCGCCATCCTATGTGCATACTGCTCGAGGCCAACCGCTCGCATCACCGCCTCGACATTGTGCCGGGGATCGCTCACGCCTCGGACTCTGGCATAGAAATGCAGGTGCTCTGAGACGGTCATGGTATCCATCGCGTCGAACTGAGGGCAGACACCAAGTCGGGAGCGCGCCTGCGCCCGGTGTCGGATCACCGAGATATTGTCGACCAGAATATCGCCTCCTCGACGGCTGGGCTGGATATCACCTCGTATCAGAGAGATTGTCGTCGACTTCCCAGCTCCGTTCGGCCCGAGGAGGGCAAAGACTTCACTACGAGGCACTCCAAATGTGACATTGTTCACGGCGAGCGTTTTGCCAAATCGCTTGGTTAGATTTAGAACGCGAAGACCGTCTTGCGACGATGACACCCTTGTGAGTTCGTTGGAGACTTCTGCTTCCATGGTGTCTCTCTCTTCCACCTCTTCTTCCTGTTGTTTTTTCCCGAACCGTCGAAACAGAGGACCCGAATCCCACCACAATAGTAGCGCAAAGAGCAAGAATGATTGCAAAATCAAATACAAGATGGGTCCGCCAAACGTGGTCATTGATCCAGCATAAGAAGCAAATTCTCGATCTCTGCAGGTGATCGAAAACACGTTAAGAGTAACAAAAAGTGCGCGGGTCAGGTTGGCCACGGGAGAGATGGCTGCGATTGTGAAGTGACAGATATTGACGTTCCTGTCTATCTTGTCGATCGGTGAATAGGTGAGGACCGACATGTAAGCAATAAAGTAAAGCAAGAACATCACGGCCTGACCACCACTCGCGAATGCAAAGGCTGCGAGTTGCGACCTCGAGAAGAGGGAGATGACATAGGACAACAGTGTCGAAGCCAGGCCATACAAAAAGAACACCACAAAGAGGTATTCAATGTGATACCAGACATCAGTCACTGCCCGGAAGATGATAATAGTGATCGAGCTGGTAAGGACGACAATGACGAAGTCAAACGAAGTGTATGCAAGCCACAAAGGTGCCGATCGGACGCCGTTGCTGTAATGGAGTCCTCGAACGTTGCGCAGCCGCTCAATTGTTGGATACAGGGCGAAGAAAGACGGGTAGACTGCCATGGCGAGCCCAAAATACGTGATCAATTGCAATGCTTTTCCAACGTCGGCACCCCAAGGCACGTCAAAGGCTTGGTATTGATTTGAGATGGAGATATTGGTCAACAAGGTGTCCATGGCATTCTGTATAATGACCGAAAATGCAAGGTTTCCGTTTCCCTGCCAGGCAAATGTTGGTGGTGAAGTTTTGTCTCCCAGGAAAAAGCCTCCAGGGGTCACATTGGCAAACCTGGTCTCGATGTAGTTGTTGAATTCATCGACGGTATCGACGAGATGGATAGAATCTAGCAGCTTTGTTGTATTTGCTGCAATTCCTGCGACACCCGTGCTGCCGGCGAGTGTGGAAGCGAAAAGTTGGATTGCATTTTGCCCCAGACGATCTCGTGGTCCTGCCACAAGATCGTAATCAATCTGCGATGATAACGACTCAATATCGGACACCAGAGCTAATGACGCCGGATTGCAGGTCGTCTTTTCAAAATTGTCGAGGAAGAGAGTGACGAGTCCAGCAGCAATGATTGGAATCAGTAATGCCGCAAGATAGGGAAGAGTGTTCCGACGGAGTACGACCCATCGTTTGGAAAAAAGTACGAGAGCTTGCTGAGGCATGCTGATGCGACGTCCGTCCAGAAGCTGAGGGGTTTCTCCCGAAGACTCGTCTCTAATCATTGTTTTGAAAGCGCTGTCGGGGTCAATCTCAGTACTGCTGTGACTACCGACCTCCTGGAGGATGGGATCGGAGCCCGCCTTTTCCGCCAGTCCTTCCGACCGTCTCACCTCCTCAGCCACCTTCAGAAAGACGTCTTCAATGGTGGGACCATTGACCTGGTACTCCACGACCCCCTCGCCTTCGATGCGACGTAGAAAGTCTGCCGTCTTTGCCGAGTCTGTCAAGGCATAAATCGTTTGATCGTCTCGTCGCACATGATTGACATCCATGTATGCTGAAAGTTGCTGAGACCCGTGGGTGTGATAGATATGAACTCGGTAGCCAGAGCCGAGTTTGTGTTTCAACTCCACCGAAGTCCCCGAGGCCTTCAGAATGCCCTTCGACAGGATAGCGATATGATCAGCAAGGAGCTCAGCTTCGTCGAGGAAATGTGTGGTGAGAACGATCGACCTCGACCCACGTTCAGCAAGCAGAATATCCCAGATTTTCCGCCGTGATAATGGATCAAGACCCGAGGACACCTCGTCCACGCAACATACTCGCGAGCCGCCAGTAAACATCATAGCCAGCTGTAACTTGCGCTTCTGACCTCCTGACAACGTCTTTGAACGAGCACTCATCTTTCGTACGATGTCGCATGAGGCCAGAAGTTGCAGGTTTTCTTCTTTCGAAGAGGGCTTCTGGCTCTTGATGCGGTTGAAGATGCGAACATGCTCCTCCACGGTCAGATCATCCCATAGCACATTTTTCTGAGGACAAAACCCTAGACCTGTGTTTGCCTCGGGAAAGTTGACGGTTATATCACCAGAGGTGATGGAACTGAGACCAGCAATTGCGTCCAAAGTGGTGGATTTCCCGCTTCCATTGGCGCCTAGTAGCACCACTATGTGGCCCCGTGTAGCATCTAAGGTTAGATTGTCAACGGCGAGTACAGTGGTAAGTTGTTTCCTCGTAAAGAATGCGCGAACTCTCGCAAACCACGAAGGCGGATACTCCTTGGTGAACCCAGACAATGAAATAGAGGCAGTGTCGTCTGAGTATGTGGTCTTTCGACTTTGCGACGCTGTTCCATATAGCGCACGTTCGACATAAGCACCAAGGATCGGGAAGACAAAAATCTGAATTATCGAAAAGATCCAGAGAGCAATGCCGGGTAAAGCGGATGTGTTATTCGGCGCCCGTCTCACCAGATTCGTGGCAAGGTCCTGTCTTTCCCAGCGAGCCATAAAAATGATGAAGTATACGTAATTCATAGGTGGAAAAAGAAGAGAAAGTATGGCGACAGATGCTGTGCCGGCCTTGCTGGCGACCTGCGCGACGATGGCAAGTAGAAGACTTACGATGACAGAAGTGATTCCACTCAGCTGGGCTTTCTTAAAGAACGCAGCTCCCAGAATTGAAAAGGATGACATCGAC